GTATATTCCATGTTCCAGTTGTTAAACAATGTTTGTCATTATATTTCCTCATTTCAACTGACCTTTTTTTATTTATTTTAAAGAAGGTTTACAGAGACTTAAGGTTTCCAGTCATTCATTGTTGCCTTTTTCTCCCTGCCCACCCTCTCCCTTCTAATTCATTCTTGGGGAAAGGGATTGCATAACTATAAAAAAAGTTTTACTTTTCAACTGACTTCTGGGCTCTACAATTACACTACTTTAACAATCCATGTTCTACTGTTCATAGGGTTTTCAGAAGCCTGTTATTTAAGAAATAGATGGCCAATCCCACTTCCTTGTCTGTTTTAAATTTGGAGCTCTAGTAAAACCTCTCTACCATCGGTAACCCTCTTGTCATTTGACAGACCAGAGGCAATAGCTTTCAGTATCACAGCAACCCACAAGTTATCTTAGTATAGCAAACTGACAGACAAGTGCTGTACCAAGTAGAACAATGCTCTTCAAAAACACAAAACCTACTAATTTAGTTTGTAACTTTAAGACCAAATCAGTCTTCACATAAACCCTGAGGACCATAGGCTGGAGGGCCTGTTCAACTTTTAATGTAAAGGCCCACCCACCTGGACTTAATTGGCTTAAAGAGGCTGCCAACCCACAATTGGTTGTTAGTGAAATAGAAATGACCAAACTACTTATGCCTGATTGTTAATTAAATAAAAGCAACCTATTTTTCAGAATCCAAATGCTTCTACCACAATAACAGGTCAACTTTTATATGAAAGAGTGATAAAAATTTTAAATCATTAGGCTACTGTACCCTCATTTAATCATTAGGAAACATGTTTCATATTAATATTAACAAAATAAATACATGGACTGTTTTATATACCAGATTCTATACATGTGCTCTACCTCCCATCATGAAGCTCTGTGATGAATTGGGAATGTGGAAACTGAGGCTCAAGAACTTGCCAAAGCTCACCCAGTTATCAAATTGAACTCAAGTTCTAGCAAAGCTAGAACTAAAAACCAAGTCTGTCTTCAAAGCCCATGTTCTTAACTCCAATGCTATATTGGTTAAGGTTCTTAGAAAAGTGAAAGAACATCTAATGAGAAAAACCCATGTTTGAAACAAGAGAGTATAAGACACACACACACACACTCTCTCTCTCTCACACACATAGAGAGAGAGAGAGAGAGAGAGAGAGAGAGAGAGAGAGAGAGAGAATTGCATAAAGTACTCTCAGTTCTTCATCTGAAGGAATTTCCACTGTTTTGTGAATAATTTTCAAGTCCTTAAAGATTGATTATTCAGGAACCAATTTGCTCTCTTTATTTTATCATCTTTTATTTCTCTTTTTATTTTTAATTGATTAATCCACATATAGGAAATATAAGGTCATTCTGTATAAAGGTTGAAGCTTATGTGTATGAACCAGTTGGGCCTTGAGGATATTTCCTCAAAAAAGAGTCTTCTCTTTGTAACATCTTACATAATTAGTGCATGGTATATCTGTCTCCAGAAGTTGAAATATTTGTTGGTAGAACCAATCATCCAAATGCAAATAACTATAGTAGCATTAACAGTACGTAACTCTTAATTTTTGACTAAATTATTCATAAGCATACCTGAAAATAAGTGTACATACATACAAACCACTACTTTAACTAGGATGAAGTGTAACTAATGCTTTTTCTCCTACAATTTAGTCCTAAGTGTGTGAGTGCTAGACACATGTAAGGAGTTTGATAACTGATTATTACTTACAAGTATTTTGTATAGTGTTTAGATTTTTTGTGTGTGTGATTGAGAGCTGTAGTTATTACTATTTTTTAGTCTAATAAGTAATATACACACTCTTCTTTTTAATGACATTATTATTCACAAGACCACTCATTTTTAAGGATGGCATCACTTTCTGTTGAAAAATTGATTTCACTCTTTGTTTAAATTTTCATACTGGTTGCTCTATGAAATGTGTAAGTGAATGTTTTAACTGTTTGATACGAATGTATATGGATTTGAGTAGGTTTGCTCAGGGATCAGAGTAGCCTCTGTCTAGGACTTCTTAGAAAGTTGTTTGTTCTTCAATCAGTCTAGCAAATGGGGCTAGGGGCAAATGAGCTCATTATCATGCACATGTTTCTAAACTAGTTCTTACTAATGTTTGAGATAAATTAAAATAAAAACCAACAAGAACATGAAAAGAGACTAAGATCAATGTTAATGTGGCAATTTAAACCAATTTGGTTTTTCCAGATGACCTTCTGTCTTTCACAGCATTTTAACAGTATGCAAGATGACTATCATTAGTGTCAGATACTATCTATCTGGAATGGAGAACTTAAAACTTATTTTCTAAATGTCTTTAAAGCTGAGGTGGAGAAGAAGGACTCTCTGACTTTCACAATGGTCTATGGTTGAATCATGGCTATGCAGTCTTTCCAGTATGTCACTTACCAGACTATTCAAGGTGATGAAAGCATCTTCCAGCCTGTATCATATCCCCAAATGATTTTCTATTATACCTTATCATTTGAAAGAGAGCAGACTGAGGGATTCCCTAGGGAGGCCAAGCAAAGTGGATTTTAAAGAAATAAATAAATGCCACTTCTTAATTTATTTGAAGTATATATAATGCTAGTAAATTGAAACTTTTATCGCTATGAATGATTAACTTTATATTTGCTATTGACTTTCTAATATATTTTACAATAGGTGGAAAGAAGTTTAGTACTATATTTAAAGTTCAGGGCCAAATGCTATGTAGAGAAGTCTCTATGTAGAGTGGCAATTGGAGCTATTCTAGGTAGACCAGGTGCAACTGATTTCCCATTTCTGCTGCAGCTAAAACTTGAACGAAAACAAGGACTGTGGGGATGAGTGAGATCTTGGTGATGTCTATTACCTGTAGAGAAGGATTAAAGTTGTAGCTGTAGGTTATTTCCATAAAAGAACCTGCTTCTTTTCTATTGAAATATTTATCTGAGAGTTTGCCCAACTATAGTTTGATTCACAGAATTTTAGATATCTGAACACCATCGCAATAATCTCTAAGGAATAGACTAATTATTTCTCTCACCTTGGACTTCTTGAAGAAACAAAAAGGAGTCTTTCTGATATCCTTCCTAAATTCCTTGTTTTTCTTTTTAGTAGAAATGATGTATGCCAAAGCAGATATGAGTCCTGTGAACTGTTCTGGGAGCAGATTCATAGTTGCTTTCTTCAGGAAGTCTTGCTAATTTTCACTCTTTAATAGTCAAATCACCTTCATAGAAGCTGATCATTAGAGAAAGGGAATAGAGGCACTGGAAAATGACCTCTGTCTACAGTGTTCTTGCCCCAGGACCTCCACATCCTCCCCAAACCCCAGGAAGAGGTCCCACTTTAGTCACACGTGGGATCATCTTAGACAATAGGCTGCCTATTTAGAGGTTGCTCTAAGATTGCAGTGCCTCCATTCTCTTGCTTTGATGTTAAAGTCAAAGCTAGCATTCTTTATAGCACTTGAACTTTTTGTGTAAATGTTTCCAGGCTCCCTTTTTGAAATTGTTATTTATTGTTGGCAATTTGGAATGAAATTCCCTGTTTTAATATATGAATCAAATGAGTCAAGAGTGATGAGTTACTAGTTCACTAGTTTCTGCTTTATTGATGTAACATTGAGAGACAAGAGCAGTACCCAAAGAACAATTCCTTTATTTTGTGATTTGAGGTACACCTGCTCCTCACCTATTCCTAATCTCATTATCCAACATTTTATATTTACAACGATAGTGAAAATCTGCTATCTCAACTCTTGTGCACACGTGTGTGATGGTCAAAGTGAAGTGCTAACATAGCTGGGCCATGATTGTCAGTAACTTGACAATTGTGTAAACTCTTCTAGTTTGGCAGTTACATAATATAATCTTGCATTTTGAAATTTGCTGTGGCCATCTTCTATTTTTGCATAATACTACTTTTCACAGAAAGCCATAGATAGTAGTAGTTTTCACAAAAAGCCATGATCGGTGTTAATTAATTCATCATGCCAATAAGTGACATGCCAAGAGTGACAAAATATTTTTACTAAGGCTTTCCTTCTACGCATCACTCTCCAAGCCTATTCTAATTAGAGAAACCATCTAGGGTTGTTAATAGTAGATTTAATGGAGGAGAAGGAGATATACTATTGAAGCATTGTATTTGAGTCTCAAACTTAACCAGACATTTCCTGGCTGAATGAGGTAACTGACAGGATAAAGAAAATGGATAGTGTTCAGGAAAGATCCATCACAAAAAGGGAAGGAATAAGGGAGGTGGGGAAACAGAAGGTCGGGATCTACTGATAGTAATATCAGGTGCTCAAAAATCAAGTACTATCATGCCAATATATTTATGATTACTTTCATTCCAAAATAGTTACTTTTGGTTCCCTTCTTTGAACTGGGGACGAATCTATAGGCAAAAGAATAGCATAGCAACGTAGCCATCTGTGGTACCTTATGTATTTAGCATTGATGGTATGCAGTCAGACCTTCCTACATGAATTTAGATCTGTCCCTTTGCCATCAAAGCTTAGATTACCTTCCTTGGCTTTTTTCCTGGCAGAATAAAAGTCATTTCAAATCCTAAAGGGGTACAATAGAGTAATGTGACTAAAAAGCATATGATGTCAGTTAAATTACACGTGGGTCAAGTTGATCTTTCTGGGTAAATTGGTCCAATTAAGGTGTGAGTGGGCAGAGATGGAAAGGAATGAAGGGAAATGCATCCCTATGAATGGCCAAGATCCTTGCTACTTCTCCAGGTCCCGTTTTCAGAGCATATGGAACACTGCATGGCTATGGACTAACCTGACCTCCACATTGTCCCCTGAGGGCGGGGTGACTTCAAATCCACCTCTCCTAAAGATAAATTGATATCTACCTCTTAAAAAAACCTCATAAAACCATCCAAAAAACCCTAGAATGTTTTTTATAATGACGTCTTGACTTTTCAGATTGTTCTTTAAGCTGTTTTTTAAACTTTAAAGGCAACACTGATAATGAACGCTTCCAAATGGTAAAACAGAAAATCCCCTTCAAATATAACCGACCCGTAGAAGAGTGGCTGCAAGAAAAAGGTAACGGTTGTTAAAACTTTCATTTTAAAACCATTTGATTCTAAACCCTCATTTTTAAAGCCTGCAAATAAATGTTTCTTAAATGATAATCGCCTGCTGCATAAATGACTGTTTTAATTTTCATTATAATTTCTGTCAGCTTCCACCTGCCATATGTTGATAAATCATGCTGTAATACATTGCCATTAAAATACAGTTAAAGGGACTAACATGCAACTTGCTGTCAGTGTGCCAGTCACAAAGAGGAAATTCCGAGAGCCTCTAAAACAGAAATGTATTATGGCAATTTAACCACTGCATGACTTTATTTGTTAATTTCTTTTAAATTACCTCTCACACTAAAGTTTCCTAAAGGTATTTGAAAAGGACTTTTAAAAGTTACACCTTGAGGCTGTTTTGGCTTTACAACCTGTAGCATGGCTAAAACAAACAAACAAACAAATATTATAGATTGACTCATAAATTAAAATTGCTTAAAACAAATGTAAAAGAAGGGGGGCAATTTTTTAAGCATTTCTTTTTAAACAAACAAACCAAAAAACACACACAAAAAAGAGGACTAAATTTTGCCTTTAAGTTCAAACCTATAGAGGCAAAAATATTTCCTAAAGAGATTGTGTCCTAGATGCTGACTAAAACAAAAAAGGAAAGAAACACATTTATGTTACGCTTTGGTTGCTTGGTACCCTTGTGTACTGAATTTTTACACAACAAAAGTGTACCTGGCTAAGAGCATGGTTTGGAAAGGGCAGGACTTTGGGCAGGCAAAACAGCAGGTTCTGATTTGCTGGAGACAATCACCACTCTGAATAAAAGAGGGCAGCGGTTATAACTGATGTTTGAATTTTCTGTGTGACCTTTGTTAGGTAGGATGAAAACTCTTGTCTTTTAATGAACAAAGTTGTATATTTTTAAAACTCTATTCTGTTTTTTCTGAGCTAGTCAATACAAGCAATTCTTAAGATGTTAAATTCTCAACGTTTGTAGAAATTTAACGGAGATTTATATTTATATGCATATGTGTGTGTGTGTATATATATACACACACATATGTATGTGCATATATACACTTACACACACTCATATATATATACATATACACACACTTTTTAAAAAAGTAATTGGATAAAATAGCATACCCCTAAAAAAAGACAAACTTAAGAATTACTACAATTTTAAAGTTGGGTGAAGATATTTGGACCTTCATAAACACTGAAAATCCTCACTGGGTCTTAACTGTTTGCCCTGCTTTTAATGCATGTGGTCTAATTAAAAAATAAATTAAGACTAACTCTAAAAAGCAAATAATTTTGTTCAGTAATCACTAGCTTATAAAGTCCCTTTAACATTAAAGACAATGATTGCCTCACTTTTTAAAAAGGAAGAAAAAACCTAGATGCATGTCTGAGTCTCATGTGCCTGAGAGAACTTTTCATTTCTTTTAATTTTATGTTAATACTATTTTTTTTTCTTCTCCATTGCCTTTTGAAGTCTAAGTTTAATAGCATGCCAGGCATTTTCATTTGTATGAACCATTATCAGCCTATTATTAGGTTTTCAGTTTTTCTTATCATAGCCTATTATCAGTTGATTTTCAAACAGGACATTTTAAGTCTACAAGAAGAAGAGGCATTGGGATAGGGGTAGGGGTGGCTGAGGTCGGATGGAGGGATGCATTGTAGTTTGTTAATAAAAATATGGGTATTTAATATATGTATATGTTAATGAAATAATAATTTGCAAACTATGAACTTCTTCATGATTTTAACTGGAATCACTTTTTAAAATAATTTGGGTGAGTAACATCTATTCCTGCTGTAGTTTTATTTACCTCTTCCTCTGCCTAGCTAAATTTGCTTTCACAAGGAATACAGCTTATTTACCAAAAATCTCTAAAACAATGAGTACAAAGGTAGCTATAGATGAATCATTAGGCAGATACACCAGGAATGGCTCTTTGAATCGTTTCTGTCATTGAGGAAGCTCATTGGGTCACAGCACCCTCAGGCCTCTTTGCTGTCTCAGTCTAGTATTGACTGACTTCCTGGCCTTAGGCAATCCACTTAACCTCCCCATATCTCAAATTTCCCATCTGAGACAGAAGAAATAATACTGCTTGTTCCTCAAGGGTGTTCTGAGGTTTAATTAATTAGTCTTTGAGCAAGCTGACTGGAAATGTGCAGAGATTTAATTTAAGAAGCATGTGAACTTGATGTCCAAAGGAGGTAACAATTAATGACTTCTAGGAGTATGAGAATCTGAAACAAAACAAAATGTAATCTTTTCTAAATCCTTTACTGGTGTTATAACATACAAATTAAGTAACTAGTATAAAGATGAAAGATGCCCCTTTTTTAAAACCAAATTTTGTATTATTGATGGTGGAACAATTTTAAGACTGTGTAATACATCCTATAGACATATTTGTATATTTTTTTACATGATAAAAATAGGATTAAATGAGGAATGAGAATAATGAAATTTAATGTTGATTTTAAGAATTAATTCTTCATCAAATGATAAAAGGAAACTTTGTCCTGTCAGTCCCTCAAATCCTTCAAAATATATTGTTGTTGTTGTGTGCTGTCAAGTGGGAACCAACTCATAACTGACCAACACACACCACCTCCCAGCAGATTTTCAGAGGCAGTAAATTGAACAAGAGGAGATTGCCCATCCTTCTCCTACAAAGCAGCTGGTGGATTTGAACCCCATTCCTTCGGGATCAAGCACAGCTTCTTACCATTAGGTCGCAAGAGCATGCTTTAGTAGATTTATCACGCTATAATAGCATATAGTAGGAGCTGATAAATGTTTGTGCATCTAACAATTTTATCAGTGTCCCATGCACATGTTTCATTGCTCATCCTTGGGTCTCTCTTTCTTAACACTAATATAAGAAATTTAATGCAAAACACTAAGATATAGAGCCTGGAGCCCATATTTCTTGCTATTTATTTTGGATGGCTGCTTGTTTGGGGGCCCCAGGCTTTACTACATAATGTCATGATGAGAATAAAAGTAAATATTCTCTTGAATTTGCATAAGCATTTGGGAGTAATAGACTCTTAAGAGTTGTCTAAATGTGCAACAATGACTCTTTTTGCAGGAGCCCCATGTGAGTAGACACATTTCTCCTTTTCTTCTAATTCTTCTATTCTTATGATTTCAGTTCCAGATTACACTCCAAGGGTTTAAGGAGAAATAGCCATAATTTTGAAGACCACATAATAGTAATTAAAGTTAAAGATTTCAAACATCACAATACACTTCTTTAATATTGATGGGTGTACAGCAAAAATATCAGCTTTTAAATATATACCACCTTTTATTAAATAAGCAAAACAATGTAGAATTGTTTTCAACTGGGTTCCCCCCCCCCCAAATAATCTGGTTGATTAGATTAAAAATGAGTGCTACATTATTTGATTAAAGCAGAGAAAAATTTAAAAGGAATATATCTAATTACTTTAGCAAGTTAATTCCCCCCCCCTTTTGGAAAACCAGAAGGAAGTAATCCTAGGAAATGATAGCATAGAAAACCTTAGCAAGTTTATGTCCTAATATATTGCTATAAGTTTTAAAAAGTAGTTTGAATTTTTGTGGGAAATACTAGACTTTTTGGAGAATTCTTTCTAAGTAGAAGTAATTATAAAGAAATATGTTAAATTACATATTTCTAAAATTTATTCTGCCATAGTTTTATTTTATTCTGATAGTTTTCTTTCTAAAAGAAAGAAATCATAAATAGTTCCCAAGAAGGAAATCTAGGTAAGGTGAAGTGTTGATATTCTGTATTTTTCAATATACTAACATACTTCTGTGTACTTTTAGAAATTTTTATTTATTACTTTCAACATTAGTACCACTGTACTTTAAAAATTCAATTATTCTAAATGGTATATTTTTCATTTTATTTTCCCTAAATAGCATTACCAATGCTTATTTTCCATTTCTTAGAAAATGATTTAGTTATGCGGTCACAATGTCAACAAAAAAGGTAATAGAAGTAGGAAATGGTCTCTCATGGTGTTTACTGGAAACCAAATGTAGATATAAAATTACATGTTATGAAGATTATTAAGATGTGAGGTGTTTGGCAAGTAAAATGTTCAAATTTAAAAGTATACAATGATTCCAAGGTTCTTATCCAGAATTTAATTTTAACTCGATTTAACTTGCAAAACTTTTTAAAAAATGTAATGTTCTCAATAACCTCACTGATTTTTTTTTTTTTGCTATCAGACATAATTCTTTTAATTCACCTTATGTATCATTGTAGATTTAAAACATCAATGTAATAGTTTATTCTGTCATATGGTTAGGAAGTTTCTGTCACTCAAAATGATATACACAAGAAAATGTATTACTGCTCATCATTCAATCAGTATATCTTTTTCACAAGAATTAAGAAACGGCGTTTTCAGCTAGACAGTGGAAGAGATAACCATAGTGAAATGTTACTTGCCAGTGTCCATTGAATTTTTGTGACCGTATTTTCTCCTCTTCAGTTGCTCAAGGAAGCCAGATGTGAGAACTGGTCCATTCTGACCAGGTAAGGCAAAGAGAAAAAATGCATGGGAATAATATTGTTTCCTCCACCCAACCCACTAGGCCGGCAGTTAACCATCTTCAACACCCAGGCGCAAATAGCCATTGGAGGAAAGGACAAAGGACGTCTGTTCCAAGGCCAGCTTTCTGGGCTCTATTATGATGGTTTGAAAGTACTGAACATGGCAGCTGAGAACAACCCCAATATTAAAATCAATGGAAGTGTCCGGCTGGTGGGAGAAGTCCCATCAATCTTGGGAACAACACAGACCACCTCCATGCCACCGGAAATGTCTACCACTGTCATGGAAACCACAACTACAATGGCTACCACTACCACCCGTAAAAATCGCTCCACAGCCAGCATTCAGGTAAGGCTTTCTCTGAATAGTTATTTCCATTTTCTTGTCTCTGAATTATTGCTATCATGGTCAATGTTGCCATATAACTCAAGAGTCTGAGTTACAGCTCTGTTTGTGGAAAGGATGCCCACAGATATTCATTTTAATAAGACCCAAGAGTAGAGAGAGACAAAGTCACTGCTAAAGAACTTATAAGTCTCGTGGCTCTTGTGGGTTATTATTCCTATCGTATTTATCACTGAAATGGTAAAACTGTTATTCAAAATGAGCAATGGGCAACACTTTCAGTATGAAATACTCCTTCCTCTTATTTTATTATGTTTTCTTTTCAAATAGCAGAAAGGGAACAGGGAGCAAGGAAAATGTGTTATCACATTAAAGATTATATCCTTATTCAATTCTATTCTCCTCCTCCGGATAGCTTTGCTGGAATAGGAATTGTTCATTATTGAGGTCAATGGGCGCCATTAAATCAAGGTCAATTGCAACTAGAGGTGCAAGTACTCTCTTTGTGCTTGATACTGAGTCTTGATTCATCACGTGTCATTTTTGGGGGGGGGGCGTTGGCGGAGAGAGTCCATTTTGTTTCCTTTATATTTGACCAAGTTCCAAATTGCATTAGAACATTTAAAGGTTTGAATTTAGCTCTGCAGAATTTTTGTTTGTTTTGGTTTTTTGGCAAGTTTTTTATTTCCTTCTTTATTTTACTTGAACGTAATTATACCCAAGTTAAAGTTTAGTACTTTGCTGACTCCCTTGACATTTATAAATCCGGGTAGTTTGAGGTAGGAGGTTAATCGAGTGATTAGCCTTAAATGCTTTGGCGTGAAAGAAAACATTCCCACTTCTTGTGAGGAAAATTGTCTCTACCTTCGTCAGTGTTTATAGAAAATTCAGCAGATCAGTACTTGACCCTTCTGCTTTTTTAGTTTCGAGATGCTATCTGGGCACTCGACTGAATTTGTGCCAAACCTTTCCCATTGACATCAATGGATATTGTAAATTTAAAGTTAATAATTAATTAAATGGTTTACGTGTTTGCATTCTTCTGAGTTGACTTAATAAGTGTAAGTAGCCGGAAAAATGTTGTCTTCTCTTTCCCTTTTCTTTGTACAGAAATGTCCAGACAGTGCTTTGTCTGACTCCACAGGGAACAATTTCCAGCTGTACATATTGAAGATGCTATCAGGGCAATCGTATATGTTTTAGAAAGGCTACAATGAGCCTGGTTAGCATAGCAATCTTATAGTCACATGTGCTGTAACATGAATACCTATACAGATACTGGGGGAAAAAATTAGCTCCTTCACTACTGATATTAAAGCAATAACTCCTGACACTTCACTCTACTTGCCGAAACGAAGATAAAAGATAATATATATTTCTATTATGACTCTCCGCAGCTCAAGAGCAGATCTATTTATTGTTAGTGAAGGGATAGTTCTGTCTGCACAGATCTTGGCTGAGGTGTTATGTTTCTGTCAGACTACATTGTGCTAACTCCATGGGAAGCAGAGGCGCAAATGGCTTTTTGTGTACAGCGATGGTGGGCCCCCTAGTCCTTTTTAAGGCTGAATTCTCCCCTGGTTCAGGATGATTTAACTGTATCCAGAGATTCCCTGATGAAACTATGCTAATGATTTGTTTGGGATTTTCTCTCCCTCAGAAAATACACAAATTCTAATACATTAGGTAGCCTTTTCAACTCCTTCCGTAAGCTGAGTAAATCAGAACTACTGGAGAAAAGTGGTGTCCAAGGTGTAAAGTCTTCACCTGTGGATGGTGACTGTGAGCTTCCTAGAGCTTGTGGTCATTTTAGAGGCCATGGACAGCTGGACGATGCCCTTTCCAAGAGCTCCCTTCTGATGTGTATCTGTTTTCCCTGGAGTCAAATAATAATTGGATTACATCTCCTTGTCTGTCCTTTAGGTTTTACCAAGGCTGTAAAAATGATTCTAAAATCTGTCCATATTTGGTGTTTTAAGGGTGTGTAAATTTTCAGTCTCGGAGGAAAGCCAACAACAGCCTCACTAGGGTTAACTAGACTGGGATGAGGTATAAAAAAACCTCATGCTGTATAAAAAAACCTCATGGGGTGTGTGTGTGTGTGTGTGTGTGTGTGTGTGTGTGTGTGTGTGTGTGTGTCTGAGCGCGCCCGCGCGCCCGTGTTTATTTTATAAAGAAATACACTAAGGAAATGGCTTTTTGTCAACAGTTTTGCTTTTTGTAGCCATTAGAACTCAGCCCATGGGCTCCATGAAAACTGAAAAGCTTGCCTGTGCTTGTGTCAAGCACAGTACAGTCTTACATAAAGAACATTTCAGGACCTGAAAGCACAGCAACCCTTAGGTTCTATGTGAGCTTTGAGACAATGCATAGATGCTGGGGACTTTTGGTGCAAGTCTCAGTCCCAGGAGCCACTAATGCTTAGGGAGCAGTGCAGATGAAGTTTTTCAGTGAAGTGAGTAGGTTCGCAATGCTTGGCTCTTCGGGAGATAGCTCAGTGAGGGGCAAGGAAAAGGCGAGGAAGCCTGGAATTCCTATCCGTTCATTCACTGACTTGTCTATGTGTGCAACCTTCTACCATCTACAAAATGATGCTTGCTGTCTTCTCTCCTCTTTGCTCCATGGCATTGCCAAAGCAGGACTGCCCCTAAGATCGTCTTCCAATGAAATAAGCACGAAAGTTCACAAGTGTAAAAACCTGGCTACTCAAAACCCCATTATTTCTTAAAGCTTAAACTAAGCACCTCCTTTGAACAGTTCATTTCAGGTGGGTCTTCGCTAGTGTTGATTTCAGATCAAAGGAAAATGATGAAGTGCTTTTCGTGCTGCTTTTGACTGTGTGTGAATGTGAACAAATGGTTCTTGACTTGATTTGACCCTGTGATGCATGAGTCTTCAGGAAGTAATTAGTGCTTTGATCTTTCTAATGCTCCAGTTTGTTGCCGTCATAGCTGTAGAAGTACTTGCAGTGACATGGACTATGTTAAATTACAGTTATGGTGCTTGAGTATCAGATCTTCACCTTATCTTTTAAAACAGTATCTCCAGGGGCTCCCCTGAATAAAATAAAAGGGAAGACATTAATAGAGAAATAGGTGAGTGGATGGCAATTCTGAAATAAAAGACTGATACTTAGTAAGCACTTAGTAAATATTAACTAATGAATCAGAGAAAAAAAAATCAAGCTCTATGGTCTTACCCCATATTATAACTTAGCAATGAAGAAACATAGCTTTAAGAAAGTTGTTTGTTCAACAGAATGAGCGGGGTCTTTGAAAAGTCATTTTCTTTGAAATAGGGTAAGGCTATAACACAGTGATTAAATGCATGAACTTGCAGCCTGCTTACCTAGGTTTAAAACCCAGTTTTTTCTTATACATGCTATATGACTTTGAACAGCATCATATATCCTAGCTAACTGTTACTGTGAATCACACTTTTGCATACCTTAGGGGTTCAAACAGCAATCACGTTGTTGTCTGCCATTATGTGCTTTGTCATGAGCCTGCAACTCACAGCAATCCTATGAGTTCCGAACCTAGCCCTATTCTGAGCCAGTGTCCCTGTCTCTAACACACCGACCCCCATTTCACCAGATCTTATCATTTCTTGGGTGAGACTTGGCCAGAACTTGGATAGTCATTTGGGATAAATCGAGCCACTCAGAGGTGTTCAGCTGAGGGCTGTGCTCACCTGGAGCCGACTTTGCACACTGGTTGGTTGACTGGAAAGCGTTCAGTTGGAACAGTTCTCCTTGTCATGTAGTCCAAGCCTTCTCCATGTGGTCTATTTAGTGGAGCAGTTGGATTCTAATGGAAGATAGAGGCTTGGAGAAAGAGTGCCACATGGTACAGGATGTAGAGCTTGCTAGTCTTTACATTCTGAAAATGCAAACCAGCATGGTGTCACTTCTGCCATATTCTATTGGTAAATGTGGTCATAGGGTTTACCTAGTTTCAGAAAAAAGGGACCATAACCTCATTTTTTCCAAAGTTTTTTATTTTATTTTATTTTTTTA